GGGGAGGGGGTTATGGGCCTGACCCCAGCGAGATAGAAGGGTCTGTGGGACTGTTGGGGAGGGGTCTCTGTTGTATGGGTGTGTTTAGGACCCTGTTCTGACCCAGGACTATGTCCCACTATGTTGAGGGCAGGTGTTCCTGTATCTGGCATGTGAACACGGGTCTGTCTTGGCGCAGGAGAGACCGGGAATAAATGTGTGCTACCTCCTGTGTGTGTGTGTGATTGTGTGTTTGTGAAGGCATTGTGGGGTGTCTGCTTAGCGGTTGTGTGACCTTGCGTGTGTCTTTGTTACATGGCGGGGGGCGGGGGGATCAGGAGGGAATGCAGGGTCCCAGGTCCCCGCCCATGTGCTCCTGAGTGGCTGTTTGGAGTACCATGTGGGTCCCCGAGAGCTGACAGCCAGCTGGGTTAGGGCCCATCTGCCTATATTTGAGTGTTGGGCACGGGTGGAGCTAAGTGTCTTGCGTGACTTTGTAAGTCTTTGTGATAATGTGTACTGACAGCCCTCTGGCTTACCGTGGTCGTGGGAGGCTGTGTTAAACTAAACTCGGGTCTGAGTCTATGGTGTGTGTTTCTATATGCATCTTTGTGACGGTGTGTGATTACAAGTGACTGTGGGATGACACAGCCTCACTGAGCAGTGTGTGTGTGTCTCTTTCTGGAACTGGGAAGGAGACAGGCCCTGCCCCCTCCCCCAGCTTAGGTCCAAGATCCCTTGGACCTGCCAGTGACTGACTGGGAGAGACACAGGGAGGAGCAAGGGAGGACAGGGCGGATTGCTCCCCCCTGCCCCAGGTCACAAACTGGCTCCGCTTCTCCAAACAAAGTTCTGAGGCTGCAGCCAAGGGGGGGCGGGCCAGGGAGGGGCTGCCCACGCCCACTCCCCAGCCCCCTCTCCCCAGGGTCTGGCCTCAGCCCCACCTAACGCTGAAGCCTTCCGCCCAGTCTGTCCCTGGCCCCGTTTGTCCCTGCACCCACCACCAGGTGAGAAGGGCGGAGGCCTGGGGGAGCAGAGGACCCTGAGGACAGATGGGTCTCCATTGGCCTCCTCGGGGTGGGGAGTTGAGGGCTCGGAAGGCTGGAGGGGCATGGACAGATGAAAGGTCAAGGTGGGTCCAGAAGAGGGGTGAAGGGGCAGAGCCAGGGCAATTAAGTGGGGAGTGGATAGGCTGGGGGAGCTGTGCAGGGGAGAGACCAGCCTGAGGCAGAGGACCCAGGGGGACAGGACCTGGGGTCCTGCTGGAGGCTGGAGGATCGGGCTTCCAAGGGCTTCAAAAGGGAGTGCGAGTGTGGAAGATGGGCTGAGACCGGGGGCTGTAGAAGCGTGGAGAGGCGGCAGAGGTGGGACCTGAGGGAGGAGGTCCAGGCTGCTGAAGAGCTGGAGTCCTAAGACTCTAGAAACCGAGGTGCCGGAGGCTCGGAGTGGGGAAGGCTGTAGACGGAGCTCAGGTAAGGGATACGGGATCGCACAGAGGGTTGCTGAGGCTGCGCGGTGGACCCAAGGGTCTTGGGGGTGGAGGATGGAGGGAGAGGGCCCCTGAGGAGTAGACGCAAGGCTCTGGGACCAGTGGTCCCGGGAAGAGAGTCTGCGAGAAGGGGCTTGGGGATGACTGAGGGCTAGGGCAGGTCTGAGCAGGCCTGGGAAGAGCCCAGAAACCTGGACAAGGGACGCAACCCTTGAGAGAGGAACAGGAGGCTGGGGTGCCTGTAAGAGGGGACGCCAAACTGAGCCAGCCGGCACCTCTCTGCTCCTGCCCGCAGCCCCCCGGCCCCCTCCTGGGGCCCCCGTTCCTCCGCCCACAGCCTGGGGTCGGGTCCGGCCCCCCCCTCCTCCCGCGCGACCGGCTTGGCGCCGCAATGACCGTCACGTACACAGCCCGCGTGGCGAACGCGCGCTTCGGCGGCTTCTCGAAGTTGTTGCTGCTGTGGCGCGGGAGCATCTACAAACTTCTGTGGCGCGAGCTGCTCTGTTTCCTCGGGCTCTACATGGCGCTGAGTGCCGCCTATCGGTGAGGTGGTCCTGGGGTGGGGGTGGGGGTGGGGAGTGCCAGCCAGAGGGGACTAGGGAGGGGCCTTGGGTGGTCCCCGGAGGGAGGCTCGCCTGTGACCCCGTGCCCCCCTCCCTCGCAGCTTCGTGCTGACTGAAGAGCAGAAGCGCTACTTCGAGAAGCTCGTCATTTACTGTGACCAGTATGCCAGTCTCATCCCGGTTTCTTTCGTGCTGGGTGCGTTCGCTCCTGAGTTCCCCATTCCCCTAATACTGAGAAACCCATTCCCAAGCCTTTGGGAGACCCCCCCTTCCTATTCCTCTGGGGCCCCCCTCTAACCCTTCAAACCTCCCCATTTCTGCATCTTTCATGCCAGGTGTGGCCCCAATTCCAGAGACCTTGGATGTCACCTGGTCACAGTAAGCCATTAGAGTTCCGTGTCACCCATAGGCTTATCCCTGGTCATCTCAGGGTCTCCCACCTGTGTCTGCATGAGACTACTAGTGGCTCCCTACATGTCCTGGGCCCTAGGGACCCCCCCCCCCCACAGTGACCCCATATGACTCCATCCTCTCAACTCCAGCCTGGAGGACATTCCTCTGACAAGTCAGTAACTTAACGTGGCTCCAGCCTCGCGTTTTCAGGTCCCCATGCTCCCAACCAAGTGGCTCCCTGTGGCCAGAGCGACGACCTATGTGCCCCTGACAGAGGCATGTGTCCCCACCTCCATACTGAG